GTGTTTTTAAATTTTGGAGGGATATACAGGCATACCTGGGAAATATTGTGGGTTTAGATCCAGACCACTACAATAAGGCAAGTATCACAATAAACTGAGTCACACAAATATTTTTATTTTCCAGTGCATGTAAAAGTTACATTTACACTATATTGTAGTCTACTAAGTATGCAATAGCACTATGTCTATAAAAGAAAAAAATGTATATACCTTAATTAAAAAATACTTTATTGCTAAACATGCTAACCAGCTTCAGTAAGTCCTATTTTTTAATTTCTTTGCTGTTGGAGGGCCTTACCTTCAATTTGTTAAAAAAATGCAACACCTGTGAAATGAAATAAAGTGCAGCACAAAACAAGGTATGCCTGTAAATGGAATTTATCCATGTTGTTGCATGTTTCTGTATACATTCATACAATTTCATTATATGAATATATTACAAGTTCATATAATTATAGTTATATGAATAATTCAAACTGGATTCTTTACAGTTTGAAGCTATTATAAACAGTGCTTCCCTGAACATTAATATACATGTCCTGCTGATACACAAAGTCACACACTGTTCTAGGGTATCATTCTAGAACAGGGGTGGGCAAACTTTTTGACTCGAGGGCCACAATGGGTTCTTAAACTGGACCGGAGGGCCGGAACAAAAGCATGGATGGAGTGTTTGTGTGAACTAATATAAATTCAAAGTAAACATCATTACATAAAAGGGTACGGTCTTTTTTTTCAATAGTTTTATTCATTTCAAACGGGCTGGATCCGGCCCATGGGCCGTAGTTTGCCCACGGCTGTTCTAGAAGCATATTCTTAAACTACAAGTATGTTTATTTTCAACTTTACTAGAAAATACCAAACTATTTACCAACATGCTTGGCAATAACTCGCCCACCAGCACTGTTACCACTGCTCTACATCCACAGCAATACTTGATATTTTATTTTTAATAATTTTCTAATCTAGTGGGTGTAAGATAGCATCTTGTTCTTTTAATCTTAAGTTTTTCAAATAACCAACGAGGTGGCCACTTTTTTATATTTGTTGGATGGGCACAGTCTCTTTTTTATGAACGTGGCATGTTCAAATCTTTTGCTCATTTTAAACTGGTTGACATTTTTCTGTTTTAGTAATTCTTCATATTATGACTGAGTTCTATGTTGGTTATGTATGTGGCAAATACCTTTGCCCGTGTAGCTGCTTATGCTTCACTGACTTGAACAGAAATTCTTCATTTTAATGTAGTTAATTTCATAGCTTTATGGTTTATTAAACTATTTTTCTACTTTGAGATCATCATATATTCTGAGGTACCTTCTAAAATGCTTTTTAATGTTTCCTTTTATATTTAATTCTATAATCCACCTCTGGATGGATATTGTACATGGCAAGGGATAGAGATCCTATTGTATTTTTTCCCATATGAATAACCAATTTTACTATCACCATTAAATTAAGAGTATCCTTTCCTGACTGCTCTGTACTACCATCTTCTTAAACCAAGTGTCCATTATATACTGGGTCTATCTCTGAGCTCTCTAAGCTTTCACCGATTATTCTTCTAGCCCTGCACCAATACGACATTGTCTTACCTCCTATAGCTTTAAAATCTGGTAGAACAAGTCCTCCCAATATATTCCTTGACATTGTCACAACTACATTTAAACTTTTGTATTGCCATATAAAATTTTTAAAGAATTTGTCACATTCCAAAACAAACCAAAAACCCCACTACACAAATACACAAAACCACTTTTTGAGATTTTAATAGGCAATGTATTAAAGCTATGAGTCAATATGAAAAGAATTGACTTCTTGCATTATAGCATTCCCATTTACGAATATATGTACCACTTATCTAGATGTTCTTTAATTCCTCTCAATCAAGTCTTATTTCTGTAACAGATCTGTACACCTCTAGCTAGACATAGTACAAAGTACTTCATAAATTTTGAAAATATTGTTAATCGTATCTTTAAAAATTAATTATACTTTTTTTCTGGAAAATAATTTTATAAACTGATTATGAAATCAAATAATTCATGTGTTTATTATCTTGGATTTCCTACAAAATACAACCTACAAATGACCATTTTGATGCTTCCATTATAAACTATACATCTTTTATTGTTTGTCCAACTGTGCTGGATTTCCTTGCAGTAAATGGTGGAATACAAATGACCACAGTGGGAATCCTGTGTCACTCCCAACCTGAAAGGAAAAGCCTTCAGAATTCACCATTAAGTGTGATGTTTAACATACACTTTTGTAGATACCCTTTAAAAAATAAGATTAACAAAGTTACTTTTCTTTCAATGCAGGAAAAGTAGTTCTTTGAGGGAGGTTCATAGATTTACAGGACTACCTCAGGAAACAAGAAAAATTCCAAATTAAAAAACAGCCCTGTCCCAGTGGCTCAGTTAGTTGGAGTGTAGTTCAATACCCAGTCGGAGCACATACAGGAGGCAAACCAATTGATGTTTTTCTCTCTCTCTTCCTTTCCCTCTCTCTAAAAAATATCAATAAAAAACATATCCCCGGGTAAGGATTAAAGAAAAAAAAATAGAAAAGACAAATGAAACTAAATTGTTAAATTGACAAACCTTTGGCGAAACTCATCAAGAAAAAGAGAGCCAAAATAAATGAAAGATAAGTTACAACCAACATCACAGAAATATAATAATTAATGAAAACTATAATCATATGCCAACAAATTCAAAAGTCTAGGAAGAAAAAGATAAATTTCTAGATACATATAACCTTCTAAGACTGAATCAGGAAAAAAAAAAAAAAAAAGAAAACCTAAACAAATTATTAGCAATGAAATTGAAGCAGTAATAAAACTCCCAGCAAATAAAAGTCCAGGGCCAGACAGCTTCACAGGTGAATTCTACCAAACACTTAAAGAACACCTTCATAAAATATTTCAAAAAAGACTGAAGACAAAAAAACAAACTCTTTCAAACTCATTACTTGAAGCCAGCATTAACCTGATATAAAAACCAGACAAAGACATTATAAAAAAAAATTTATAGGCCAATATCCATAATGAACATATATGTAAAAAATTCTCAATAAAATATTAGCAAGTTGGATTCAGCAATAGAAGAAACATAAGTGTTATATATGTAAACTGGTGTAGCCACTATGTAAAATAGTATGGAGATTCCTCCTAAAATTAAAAATAGAACTGCCATATGATATAGAAATTCCACATCTGGGTATTTATCCAAAGAAAATAAAGACACTAATTCAAAAAGATATATGTAACCCTACGTTCATTGCAAGATTACTTAACAACAGCCAAAACATGGAAACAACCTAAGTGTCCACTAATAGATGAGTAAAGAAGGTATAATACATATATATAATGGAATATTACGCAGCCATGAACAAGGATGAAATCTTATGCTCTATGACAGCATAGACTGGCCTAAGAGGGTATTATGCTAAGTAAAGTAAGTCAGACAGAGAAAGACAAATACCATATTATTTCACTTACATGTGAAATCTAAAAAACAACAACAAATGAATAAGTAAAACAAAAACAGACCAATAAATATAGAGAACAAGATGTTATTTGCCAAAGAGGAGGAAGGATGGGGGGGAGGGACAAATGTTTTCTTAAGTCAAAGTTCATTCATGCGTTTATTTTCCAAATATTTGAGGAGTTCCTAAAAAATTACTATTTAAAATCAGTAGTTGAATGGTTTCACCCCAGCAAGCTAGACACTCACTTGGGTGTCATTCATATTCCTGGAAGGAAGGGGATGAGTTCCTCATCCCTGAGTCCCCTGCATCCAGTACAGTAGAGGAGTTTGGTGCACATAAGGATGAACAAATTCATACTATACTCTTTGCCAGAGTGGGAGAAAAAAGTTACTTTCAATTCCAGAGTTTTTATCATGAAAAGACAATATTATCAAATTGTGTTTTCTGTACTATTTAGAGATAATCAATTAATCTTATCTACATACTCACTTTTACCTAAGTAGTAAACTAACTTATTTTTCAATGTTAAAACAATCATGCATCCCTGGTATGAAACCAACTTTGCCAAATTTCATGTGTTGTTGTTGTTTTTATATATTGCTGGGTTTAGTTGTTACCATTTTGTTTAGAATTTTGGCATCCATTAAGAACAGAGACAACCTAAAATTTTCCTTTTCAAAACTATCCCTGTTTATATAAAGAGTATGCTAGACTCAATTTCTTTTCTTCAAGTTTGCATAGGATTGAAATATATTTTCCTTGAGATTACTCAGTGGCATTCACTGTTCAATTCAGTTAAGTCATCTGAATCTCAAGTTTTCTTTTGAGAATTTAAATATAGATTCAATTTTTTTAAATGGTTATGAACTATTTAGGTGTTCTATTTTTTTATCATTAACTTTAACAAATGGTTTTAGAAAAATATTAAGCAGTATTCAAACTAGTACTGGCTTAGTTTCCTTCAGACTTTTTTTAAATTTTAGTATTTTTCAAATACAGTTTACATTCAATATTAGTTTCAGGTGTACACCATAGTAATTAGATAACCATATTCTTTACAAAGTGTTCCCTAAGATCTTTAAGACAGTAAAAATATATTATTCCTATTTTCTAAGCAACTCCTGCATTGCATATGCAAGTGATCAATAAATCACTGCACTCATTTATGTATTTATAAATTACTTTCTAAATAACAGAGAAAGTAAATGTCATTTTAACATGTTAATGTTGATGTGACACCTTAGTCCATGAATAGCAAATAATATAGCACGTCTGTTATTAGTCCTTCCTCATTTATGGCAAACATTAATAATTAATCATAGCCCTCCCCCAAACCCGATACCAACATCTTTCTCAAGCAGAGCTTCAGGTGGCCAACAGCTACTACCAATCAGTTTCAGTAGGTAAGAAAGATGGGGAATATCTGTTATTCTTTCAAATATTTCTCCTTTATACACCACATAAAGGAGCATGGGCTATAAAAAAATAATCAAGGACCACACAAGTTTAAAGCAATGATTTAAGGTTTGTTTATTTAGGTTCTGAAACATATGTTATACTCATCCACTTCACAATGAGTTTACAGAATTATAAATCAGATGACACTGAGAGCCAGATTTGGCTCATGTTCTACTGCTAGGTAATCCCTAAATAATGTAAGTATTAATTACCATTAAGACTTGACTTGGGCATTTTACAAAGTGGACTAAGCAATATCATAATTTGCTGTGCCTCTTCGTCCTCTCCTCTTTAAATTTTTTCTTTCATCATATTAAGTCAGTTAAAAAGACTAGTCATTTCTTCTTTGAAATGTTTTTAATATCTGTCCATTTCATTCACTCTTTATAACCTTACATCTGGACTACTGTAGTAGCCTCCTAATTGATCTGTTTTCCATTCTCTTCCCTGAGCATGTTGCCCTATTAAAAGGAACTAAGTCAATCTTTCAAATATATTGATCATATCACCTCCCACACCACAACCATCACTGACTCAATTCCTCAGTGCTCTCATAATCATGGTACCATTATCATCGTTGTTGTCATTCACATTTGATGAGGAGTTATATGCCAGACATTGGGCTAGGTACATTTCTTATTAATATCAACACAACTCTATAAAGTAGACCTATTTTTTCTTATTAATGTGTGATCTTATTAATATCAACACAACCCTATAAGGTAGACCTATTTTTTCTCTTTATTGCTTGATTCAGCTGATGTCTTCAATTGGGGTTACCTAGCCCTCAATACAGACCCCAAGTGAAAGACTGCTTAATGGTGACAAATTCCTCCCATCCCTGTAGTATGTATTCCTCTTTGCGGCAACCACCTTCTATCGGTGGAGTCTATTTCTCCATCCCCTTGAACCTGGGCTGGCCACTTGACATGCTTTGACCTACACAATGCAGTAGAAATGATGTTACTGAGATCCAGGGCCTAGTCCTTGAGAGACTTGCAGCTTCCTCCTGGCCATCATGAAGCACTGTCCCAAAGGGCATGTAATAAGGCCATTCTAGCTAGCTATTGCAGGATGAGATGTCACAGGAAGAGAACTAAGTCTCCTCAGCCAACAGCCAACACTACCTGCTGGGAGAGCAGGTGAGGGAACTTCTTCCAGCTCCAGCACACTGTAGCCACATGAAGGCAGCCCTACTTTTATGGATGAAAAAAACAAGGCAGTAAGTGATTTTCACAATACTACACACTATTAAGAAGTAGAACTAAGATTTTATCTAAATAATGTGTTTTCCAGAATTCATGCATAAAACCACTAAAATGCGCTGCCTCCCCATAGAAAATAATTTGTAGGCTCTTTAGGATTTGGTATTTATATATTTACAATTACATAAAACATTTTCTCAAAGATACAATGTTATAAATGCTATAAATGTAATTCAAGAAGGGACTGAAGAAGCATATTATGGCCAAAGAAACTTTTGTTTAATCTGTAATTGCAAATGAAATTACACTTAAAGAAAGCTATTAGCCACATTACACTGTAAGACTTTTATACTAGAATGCTATTCTGGAGAACATGTCCGTATCTTAAATGTGCCTACCAATGCATTTTCCTAAATCTAAAGATATTACTATTCTGTAGGTAATCAAGTAATATGATGCCACGCATAAAAGAACAGATTCTCTAAGAATAAAGTGTCTTTATAATGAATAGGCTCAAAGGCTCAAACAGTAAAAGATGTAATGCAGCTATATGCTATAAGAATAAAAAAGCAAAAAAAAAAAAAATTAAAATAGCTTTAGACACAACATGGAGTTTTAACAATTGTTGCTGTGGATTGAGATTTCAGAAGAAACAGTCTGAAACAGTTCACAAAATATTCAGATCCCATGTTTTACTCAAGCTAATGAAAGAAGTAGAGTTAAGACAGCACTAGCACTGAAAACTGTAATTTATGCTTTATTTAAATAGTGCTATATGTGTCTTTTCATTCCACTTTGTGCTTCAGTTTCCCATATTAAATGGGTTATAAATATTAAGAAATGTATATAAAGTATTTGTAAGTTAAAATAGTACCTGGCATATGATAATTGCTTAATAAATATTAGTTATTATTTGACATCCTCACTGGAGATTATTGTAAAAAGGGCAAAATCAAGTGAAAATACATACTTATAGCCCCATCTCTGTGCCTGACTTCTGCTAAGACGGTTAATCTGATCCCTGAGTCACATGCCTAATCGCTCCAGCAAAAGTTTGTCCAGCCACACCCTCGAATTCTTTCCGGAGCATGCCATTAACATTTTTTGCAACAGGATGAGAATTTTCCAAATTATCAAGTTCTGGTTCCTTTTTGCTCAACAATTCCTTCCTGAATCTATCAATTTCTTCTCATATTTTACTATAAGCAAGAAAAAATCAGGAGTGCAAATTCCACACTATGCTTGATAATTTCCTCAGCTAACTATCCAAGAATTCAATGCTTACTAGTCCTATTTTCCACTTAAAAGTGGAATAATTATTCAGCCATGTTATAACAGGGACCACCTTTCTTCCCCGTCCTAATAACATTTCCTTCAGAAATCTTACCAGAAGCACTTTTAGCATTCGTATTTCGAGTAACATTCCATTCATGATGTCAAATCCTATCTAATAAAAGAGAAACATGGTAATTGGCGTACGACCGCTACCCTTCCCATTGGCTAATCAGGGCAATATGCAAATTAACTGTCAGCCAAGATGGCGGCCGGCAGCCAGGCAGCTTGAAACTAACATGAGGCTTGCTTGCTTCAGTGACGGAGGACTCCAATATTCCCCGCCTGCCGCTGCAGGCCTCTCAGCTGCAAGCAACTATGTAACAAACATAGAAGCTAAACAAAACCCCAGAAACCTGCCGGGCTTCAGCCAGCAGGATCGCAACATTGTAAGCAAAGGCCAGAAACCTACTTTCAGCAGCGGAGGCCTAAGAGCTGGAGCCAGGCCTCAAAGCTAAAGCTGGCACAGAATAAAAAAGAAAAAAAAGAAAAAAAGGAGCGGTTAAGAGCTTCAGTCACCCCCAGCCTGAAAACAGCCCTCAGCTCCTCACCCAGACTGGCCAGGCACCCCAGTGGGGACTCCCACCCTGAAGGGTGTGTGACCAGCTGCAAACAGCCATCATCCCCTCACCAAGGCTGGCCAGGTACCCCAGTGGGGACCCCCACCCTGAAGGATGTGTGACCAGCTGCAAACAGCCATCATCCCCTCACCCAGGCTGGCCAGGCACCCCAGTGGGGACCCCCACCCTGATCCAGGACACCCTTCAGGGCAAACCAGCTGGCACCCAACCATGCACCAGGCCTCTATCCTATACAGTAAAAGGGTAATATGCCTCCCAGCACCGGGATCAGCGTGACAGGGGGCAGCACCCAAACCCCCTGATCACCCTGCGGCTCTGTGTGTGACAGGGTGCAGCGCCCCAACCCCCTGATCGGCCCTGCTCTGTGTGTGACAGGGTGCGGCGCCCCAACCTTCCCCCCCCCACCCCCCCACGGGCCCTGCTCTGTGTGTGACGGGGTAGAGCCATAACCTCTCCATCGGCCCTGCCCTGAGTGTGAGAGTGGCGGCACCCCAACCCCCTGATCAGCCCTGCTCTGTGGGTGATAGAGGGCGGCGCCCCAACCCCCTGATGGGCCCTGCTCTGTGCGTGACAGGGGGCAGCGCCCCAACCCCATGATTGGCCCTGCTCTGTGTGTGACAGGGGGTGGTGCCGCAACCTCCCCATCGACCCTGCCCTGAGTGTGACAGGATGGTGCCCCAACCCCCCAATCGGCCCTACCCTGAGCGTGACTGAGGGTGGAATCACAACCTCCCGATTGCCCTGCTCTGTGTATGATAGGGGGTGGCACCCCAACTCCCCAATCGGCCCTGCTCTGAGCCCGACCAGGGGCTGCACCTAGGGATTGGGCCTGCCCTCTGCCACCCAGGAGCAGGCCTAAGCCAGCAGGTCATTATCTCCCGAGGGGTCTCAGACTGCGAGAGGGCACAGGCCGGGCTGAGGGGCCCCCCTCCCCCCTGAGTGCACAAATTTTTGTGCACCGGGCCTCTAGTGTATTCTATAAGATGATAGCACCTTTGCTGTCTATCCTCCTCACTTCTCTCTCTCTCTCTGTATACACACACACACACACAGACTTGTGAGAGAGAAAAACATTGATTTGTTGTTCCACTTATATATGCACTCATTGGTTGATTCCTGCATGTGCCCTGAGAGGGGACACAAAGCTGTAACCTTCCAGTTTTAGGTTACTTTTTAAAGCAGTACCCTACTTCCTACTAAGAAACTCAGTATTAGTTTCCTAGGGTTGCTATAACAAATTGTCACAAATTGAGTGCCTTAAAACCATATAAATTAATTTCTCATAGTTCTGGAGGCCAGAAGTCCAAAAGTAAGGTGTTGGCAGAACTGCACTCCTTTGGAAGTATACAGGGAAGAAATGTTCATCTATTTCAGCTTCTGGTGGCTCCTGGCATTCCTTGGCTTGTGGTAGTATAACTCCAATCTCTATCTCCATCCTCACATGGATTTCTTATCTGTCTCTGTGCCTCAATCTCTCTCCTTCCTCTTAGAAGGACACCAGTCACACAATTCCGGGCCCATCCAAATCTAAAATGATCTTATTTCAAGATCATTAACTTAATTACATCTACCAAGACCGTATTTTCAAATAAGGTCACTGTATTAGTTTGCTAATGACCATAACAAAGTACCACATCTGCATGGTTCACACAAGAAAAATATACTGTTTCATAGTTCTGGAGGCTAGAAGTCAGATGAGGGTGTCAGCAAGATTGGTTTTTGGAGGACTGTGAAGAATCTGTCCCATGCTTCTCCCCTAACTTCTGGTTTCTGCTGCCAATCATTGGTGCACCTTGATTTGTAGAAGAATAACTCAGTCTTCATCTTCAGACAGCATTCACCCTATGTGCATGCATCTGTGCCCAAATTTTGTTTTTTATAAGGACACCCGTTATATTGAATTAGGGTCCACCCTAATCACCTCATCTTAACTAATTATTTCTGCAACAACACTATTTTAAAATAAGTTCATATTCTGAGGTACTAGGGGTTAGGACTTCAATATATAAGTTCTGGGGGACACAATGCAACCCTACCCATATTTCATTCCACTATCTTTTGGCTTGCATGGATGGTTTCTTTCTTTTTAAAGTTAAATTTTATTTATCAATTATAGTTTACATTCAATATCACTTTGTATTACTTTCAGATATACAACATAGTGGTTAAACTTTACAAGGTTTTCCCTGATATTTCCAGTACCCAGCTGGAACCATGCATAAAAATAATAACGCATCACACATTTGCCTGTCAACCTTGTGCAGACGCCATGCTGATCTTCTCTGTACCATTACAATTTTAGTATGTATGCTACCAGAGAGCACGCCTTCATGGATTTTTATGAGATGACAGCTGTAAGTCTTACCCTTTTTTTATTACAGGTAAGATATTTTTATTTCTATTTTCAAGATTTTCCCTATCTCTTGTCTTCTGGAGTTTGACTATGTTATGCCTTGGTGTTTATTTTTTGGTATTTATCCTGCTTGATGTTCTGCTTCCTATATATGTGGTTTGTTGCTTGTCATAAACTTTGGACAATTCCCAGCTACTATTAATTCAAGTAGTTTTTCTGCTCCATTCTCTTCTAGTCCTCCTGGTATTTTAATTACACATTTGATACAACAGTTGAAATTGCCCCAAAATTCTTGGATGTGCTGTTCTGTTTTTTGTTGTTGTTTCCCCTTCCATTTTGTCTTTTCATATTAGTTTGTAAAGTTTCTGTTAACCTATCTAAGCTTGCTGATTTTTTCCTCAGCCATGTCCAGTCTACTGATGAGCCCATGAAAGGCATGCTTTATTTAGGTTACAGTGTTCTTGATTCTAGCATTTACTTTTGACTCTTAAGAGTTTCCATCTTTCTGCTTACATTACCATCTGTTCTTGCATGTTTTATACTTTTTCCATTAAAGATTTTAACATATTAATCATAGTTAAGAGAATGCTAACATCCTGGTCATAGTTGAGCCTGGTTCTAAATGATTTGTTTCTTCAGTAAGTTTTTCCTAGCATGCCTTATAATTTTTTGTTGAAAGCTATGATGTATCAAGCAATAGGACTGAGACAAATAGACCTTGAGGTGTTAAATTAATCTGGCTAACAGTGGGACTGTTTTTAATGTCTGGTAGGTGCCAGAGGCCTCACATTCCTTTAGTGTCCTTGCTTTTGTCTCCCCTGTTGACTTTTGAACTTCTTAAGTACCCCTCCTCCTCAGAGTGTATGCCTTACAGCTGTAACCCACTATTACACTGGAGTCCTGTTGGTGTGTGGTTAAGTATGTGTATGGGGGGGGGGGGGAGCATATCTACCACAGCAGCATAATCTAGTATAATCCTATGATTAAATCTCAGTCTTGGAGTGGCCTGTGACCTTAACAACTGTTTATTTTTCACTCCTATTCCAAATCAGTTGAGAAAGAAAGGCTACCGGGGCAGGAGTGGGAGAAATGCTCTTCTTCCAAGAGTAAGGTTCTGATAAAATCTTTTCACCTCAAGAGTAAGCCTTGTTAAGGCCAATTCTCTGGGTTTGTTTCATACAGGTACTTCCTTCCATGTCAGAGCCACTAGGGATCATTCTTAGGTCTTCACTGTGAGAGCTTAGTGGGTTGCCTAGAAGTAAAGCCCATGAAAGTGTGGGGGCTTCCAAACAGTGTGGTCTCTAGGAGTTTTCACTCTCAAGCTAGTCTGCACTCAGCATCCTGCAATTCATCAAAATTACCATTTTTTTATATGTAATACCTTAATCAATAAAGAAAAAAATAGTGGAAAAAAATTACCATTTAAGTGTTCTACCAATTACTTCAGGGCTACTGTGGCTTCTGCTCCAGTAAGGTAAGAGGACCTTGGCTGTGACTCTCTGAATTTGCTACTCAATTCTCTTATGAGTCTCTAAATTTTAGAGTCTAAAAAGTCCTGCTCTGCCGAAACCGGTTTGGCTCAGTGGATAGAGTGTCGGCCTGCGGACTGAAAGGTCCCAGGTTCGATTCCGGTCAAGGGCATGTACCTGGGTTGCGGGCACATCCCCAGTAGGAGATGTGCAGGAGGCAGCTGATCGATGTTTCTCTCTCATCGATGTTTCTAACTCTCTATCTCTCTCCCTTCCTCTCTGTAAAAAATCAATAAAATATATTTTTAAAAAATAAAAAAAAATAAAAATAAAAAAAAAATAAAAAGTCCTGCTCATGTCTTTAATAATATGATAATTTTGGGGGGAGGGGTAATTTATACATTGTTGTTGTAATGAGAGTGATGATCAGGCAACCATATGCTACCTAAGAGCAAAGACTCCCACCGCTCTCCATCACCCTTATATAAGCTTCTTTCAACCAGTGCTCCAGTAGAGTTAAGTGCTATAGAAAATTATCTTAAAATTTTTTTTTCATTTCTTCCAAGAATGCTACATTGCTAGTACCATTCTAGGCACACAGAAACTAGTTTATTATATAAAATAAATGACTTAGCTATTTTATCCCTTCACATTTCAATGTGTATTTCTTAGAATAAGGATATTTTCTTACATAAAAGCAAATCACAATGAGGAAATTCAACATTGATACAGTATTTTTATATAATCTACCACCAATAGTCTAGCTTTGTCAATTGTCCTAATAATTTTTCCCCTCCAAAAGCATTCTGATTTGGATCATATATTCATTTGGTTATCATGATTTTTTTAGTCTTTCTTTCAATCTCTAACAGTTCCTCAGGCTTCGTTGGCTTTCATGGCACTAACATTTTTTAAAGAATACAGGCCAGTTGTCATTTTTAATAGCATATTTCTGGTTTTGGCTTTGTCTGATGTTTCCTCATGATTACATCCAGGTTATGTATCCCTGGCCGGAATAGTACACAGCAATATTGTATCCTTAGTTTTGATCACTCAAGCAAGGTTATCATCTGGATCTCTACCATGTAGTTAAAACCTTGCAAACATCTTGCTCCTCATCAAACCTTTCCATCCTGACCCCAGATTTTTCATCCATTTATGATGCTTGCCCAATCAATCTTTACCATGATTACTGCAATGATTCTCTAATTTCACTGCTCACTCCACATTTATTAATCAGCATTCTACTATATGCTAAAGTCCACCCATTCCCCTTTTTATCTCTCTCTCACTCTCTTTCATTAGTATGGACTAATGGCTCCTATTTTCCCAATACTTCATTACTATCCATAGTTATTTGGATGCTCAAATAGTCCCTAATTTGACCAATGAAAGCCTCCTTAAACTAGCTCCTGGCTTCTTTTGATATACCCCCATCTTTTCTCTTTTTTTTTTTTTTTGAGCACTTTGTCTTTTCTGATAACACCTAATATCTTCTTTTACCCAGCCCCAAAATCAGCCATTTCTCCTGGTTCCTTTCAGTAGGGAATGGTATTAGTGCCAGATGTACTCACTGCTATTAGGGTAGTTTGAATCTGGACCCGTCATATCCAATTTGGTAGCCATTATGCACCTGTGGCTATTTAAATCAAAATTTAAAAAAAATTAAAAATACAGTTTCTCAGTTGTACTAGCCACATTTCATGTGCTCAGTAACAACATGTATTTAATAGCTATTGTATAAGACAGCACCAATATTTATAGAACATTTCCAGCATTACAGAAAGTTCTATTGGACATTACTGTTCTAGACCCCTTCACAAGGCAAATTTAGGCAACACAAGCACATAAACACACATACTCATAAGTTTTCACTCTCCATTACCTTTTAAATATCTTCCTATGTCCCTCTACATTAATTCTTTCTCATAGTAAATAATTATTTGTTGAGCATATACTATTGGGTAGTTACTGTTCAAGGCCCTGTATATTTAGAAATGTACATCTCTTTTCTCTAAAAAATTAAATGTAATGAGAAGATAAAAATAAATGATTATAATAAAAAATGTATTATAATAATACAGGATGTTACATCAATATATACCCCATAGTGGGAATGTCAAGAAAGACTTCCTGAGAGAAATTACATTAAGTTTAGAAAGGTAAATAAATATTAACCTGGAAATTTTAGGATAATTTTTGGGTGGGGGTATTTGCTATTCTCCATCAGTATTTTTCGTCTCTGTTCCAATTATTCATTTAAAATGCTTTCTTTATCTCCCCCATACCTTGTCAAAATTCTGTTTATCTTTGCCAATCTTTTATGATGCATTTCTTAGTACCTCTGACCAGACAAAGCCCAACCCAAACATATACTGTCTTTACTGATTTCTAGTACACAAAAGATCTGGTTTATTTTTGTTGTTATTAATGTAATGGGTAAGAACATGGTCTTAAAATCAGACTTATTGCTTACTAGCTGTGTGACCTTGGGCAAGCTACTTAATGTCCCTAAAACTCAATTTCTGCATGCAAAGGAGGGATTAATAATAACCCATAGTTAAATGTTTGAGGATTAAATAAAACAACGTATTGAACATTCTTAGCACTGTGACTGGGATATGCAAATTATATGGTCTACTAGTAATAATAATCTTACACTTGTTTCTTTTTTTGCTAGAAGTTTTAAATTTGTTCACACCTTTCTATTCCAATTTTTACATTATCAAGGCACACAAACACACATATGTATTTTAATAACATCTAGCAAATCCCCTAAATTATTAAGATTCTTTCCAGTCCATATATTATGGCATAGTCACATGTAAAATATTGTTGATAGACAATTCTATTTGTAACTACAAAATTACAAAATCAATTTCAAAAATGTTATTTACCTATTGCTTGCAGCAACTTTAAATAAAAAAACATTAAATATGACTTCATATATAAGATCATTAAATAAAAATATATTCCCACTTGTAAATTCTGAAATAAAACAAATATTTTCAAATTGGTGGAGCATACTAATAATAACTGCTACTAAATAATAAAAATCAATCTATTAATAAAAACCGATTTGTCAGAATCCACATTCCTACTTATAATTGAATCCTACAAAGCCATATTTATAATTGGTTACTAATGAAATAAAGCATCTTGATTTTTATACAAATATATTTTAAATACTTAATGTAGTCATAGAAACAATATTAAGTGACAGCATCAAGATGAATTTCTTTCCTTTGACATACTCTTTAAAAATATAATGGGGGAAAAAGCATGTCATATAAGAACTAGAGATAACTTCTTTTGCCCTTCATCACAGTTTGTTTAAGTATGCATTGAGAGATATATCCCTGACATTTTGCTAATAAATGAATACTATGTTTTTCAAAATAAATGCTTTTAAAAAATATATTTTATAATTTTTAGAAAGAGGGTTAGGGAGAGGGAGAGAGAAAGAGCAACATCAATATGAGAGTGAGACATCAATTGGCTG